TTTTTTTATAGTTTAATTATTGTCATTTTTATTTGATTTATAGGTGTTCTCTAGATGCTCAAAGAATATCTCAAGATATCAATATTCAACAATTAATAATTGATATTGACAACAACAATTTGCTAGTTGTACAAGAAAGGAATGAGTATAATGAACAAGCGATTACAAGTGTTGCTGCCTCTTATGATATGGTGAAAGCTAGAGAATGTGAAGAAATGTCAAGTGAAGATGACATTACTAGTTGGATGCCTCATGAAGGGATGCAATTTCCTTCGGAGAAAGAAACTCGTGAGTTTTACAATGAATATGCTAGGAGAATGGGATTTAGTATTTGCACAAAATCATCAAAGAGATCTATCTCTTATGGACCCGTTGATAGAAAATATTATGTTTGCTACAAGGCTGGTAAGAAGAAACCTTATGTGCCTAAATATAAATCATCATGTGAGCGTCCAGTCCGAGTAGGTTGTAAAGCTCAAATGTCTTGCACTTTAAAAATGGAGTTTGGATCATCATCCATTTCATTGATGACATAACCATGAGTTGTTTAGCTCTCCAAATAAAATAAGAAAATTGCACTCTCATAACAAAGAACATTTGTTACAAGAGACAAAGGAGTTAATGGATTAATACAAGTTAGCAGGGTGTGGACCTTCAAAAATTGTAAGACTCTTGAATATCATAGGCCAAGGTAACTCAAATATTACTCCCAAACAATGTTAAGAGACTTAAGGAAGAAAAGAGAAAGCAACATTGGTCGTGAGTGCTTGGTAGTTATGCAACAATTCTTAGAGATGACTGCCTAAGATGAAGATTTCTACCATAGCATGGAACTTGATGAAGATGGTGTTTGTAGGAGCATGTTTTGGGCATATGGGAAAGCAAGGGAAATGTATAAGCATTTTGGTGATGTTGTGGTTTTTGATGTGACATATTAAACCAATCAATTCCTTTTACCATTGGCACCATTTACCGGTGTGAACCATCATGGACAATTGACACTATTTGGATGTGCCCTTTTATTAAATGAGACAAAAGCTACTTTTATATGGTTATTTAAATGATGGCTATCATGCATGGGGGTAGAGAACCAAGTGTAATCATCACTGATCAAGACCCAGCAATCACGAATGTTATTAAGAAGGATTTTTTGAGCACACGCTATAGGTTTTGCATTTGGCACGTCTCACTTTATGCAGATGAGCACCTTCATTCCTTAAGATCATTATATAATCTTGGGTTTGATGAACAGTACTATAAATGGGTAAAAAGTAGTAAAACCATTAAAGAAGCCAAGAGTGCTTAGAAAGAGTTGAAAGACAAATATAAGCATGAGTTTGTGGAGCCATTAATTGATAAGCAACATAATGAAACGAAGTCTTGGAAGAGGTTGGAAAACATGCATGGAAAACGGTATAGTTGGCTTGATGTATATTTGAAAGACACATTTTTTGTTGAAATGAGATCAAGTTAGCGAAGTGAGAGCATTAATGCATTTTTTGATGGCCATGCGAACTCTCAAACTTCATTGTCTGAGTTTGTTGGCCAATATACTAAAGCATTACAATCTTGCCATGATCAAGAAGTGAATGAAGACATGCAGACCATGAAAGTAAAGCTAGGTCCCCTTAACTTACATCCTATTGGAATTCAAGTGGGAAATATATACATTGCAAAAAGTTTTGACAAATTTTAAAGTGTGTTCAAAGCATGTTTCTATTCTATGCATGATGAAGTGAAAACTTGTGATGGGGTGACCACATATGTTGTTACTTATGAGTTGGGAAAGATGGTTGATTCACAATTTGTACGATGTGAACCATCAATTGAGGAATTTGCTTATACATGTGGGAAGTTTGAGACTGCTGGTATATTATGTAAACACATTTTATACATTATGAAACAATGTCATTATGAAAAAGGTTCCTAAACACTACATTTTGGCTAGATGGACCCTAGCTTATAGACAACGTAGTAAGCAGACTGGGTGTTGATCTAGTAGTGTATCAAAAGATTCAATGGTTTCTCCTTCGGAATCTTAGAATCTTTGAAAATCATTTATGGAAGTACATGAACGACCAATAGGACATTGTGATCATTATAATGTTATTTCACTATTATTAGAGGATATGATGAAGCAATTAGATAGAGTTGATAAGCAATATAAAGGTTTGGTTCTTGAACAAAATGCTAGTACTCCAGCTATCTCCCAAGGTGCAATTTCGAGTAATATAACAATTTATGATATGAAAAGAGTTAAAACCAAAGGTCAACCAAGAGAACTTGGTAGGATTCCATCTAGAAAACAAGTGTCACAAAAAGCATCTCAAGCAAGGAAGTGAACTTGTAGCATGTGTGTATCAAAGGTCATGATGCTAGGACTTATGGAAAGACAAAGGAAAAGGTGAAATTATTAACTTACTAATTATTTTTACAACTTTTGGACTTTAGTGCATCTTTTTTTTATTTGTCATATAACAATATCTTGTTTTATTAGGGTTTAAATACAGGTGATAGCTAATGATAGTTTAAGCCAACCACTCTAAGAAGAGGAGTGACTTTGATGACATAAAGCTATAGAAGAATATGTGGTTATAAAATTCCATTAATTTTCAGTCATTTCCTTTTATATTTGATTTGTTTGATAAATATGATGATTGGTGTGCTCGTTGCAAGAGGGATTTATTACATGTCAATTTCAACTGAACACATATCCTCCAATTTGATCATGCTTTTTAGTAGTATAGTGCATATGGGTTGCAAATCTAGAAAAAAAAAAACTCTTTGTTTTTATCATGTTTTTTTTTTTTCCCCCAAATGATCAGGTTATGTTATCAAGTGAACTTTTGTATGCTTATGCATTATTGTAGTGATCAAAGACAAGTCAAGCCAATGGGCTTCTTTTGTGTATTAACTTGGTGTTGGTTTTATCTCTTTACTATTGTAAGTCAACTATAAATTTGCTTCAATTGCAAAGAAGAAAAAGGTATACAATTGATTGAAATTTATTTTAGCTAAAAAGGCAACCTCTTCCATTGCATCAAAAGCATTCAACATCTTACATCTAGGCATACTTGGGAAAATTTCTCTTTACATGTTGACAAAACTTTGAATCATAATTTGTATATTTACAGCTTAGAAACACTATTTACCTTTTATACTTTTTCTAGCATCAGCAATTGTCTTCTTGCTCTCCAAATGCCATGTATATATGGTAGCAACTATCCTGATTTTACATTTCTACTTTTGCAGCCACTTCCTCTTATAGATTTTCCTAATCACATCCATATGTTCATTTCAACTGAATAGTACAGAATTGAAATGTATAATTGATTGGAATTAATATCACAATCAAACATGGAGAGTGCCAACTTCCCTCCATTTCAAAAACTCATCCTTCTTTTTTCTTTGGCTTTCATCATGAAGGTTGATGAAGGTTGTTCAAAGCAATTGAAAAACTAAATTATAGAACTGAAATTTACAATATGCACCAATTTTAGAAAGTAAAAA